ACGGCCCTAGATATTGATGGAACTGGCTTGCACAGATCCAAAGAATTGCACCTCACCCAAGTGCTTCCATGCCATAGAGAGCTGAATCAAATGCATGGATGTTGATCCAGAAAGAATGGCAGTGGTTTGACTAGAAAAGACAATGCTCCTCCAGTGCAGTGCCCAATGATGAAAATGTAGCAATTGTGCCTATAAGTTGTTGCAGAAAGCAATGGATTGTGCTGATAAACTTGTCGTCCAGTGTGGGTTTCGTCGATTTTTGTAGGTATACTCACAACTATCCCGAAATGGAAAAAGATGTGCAGCCATCCAACCCACAGATGGTATGAAGGAATTCATTTTGCTATTCTTAGATCGCTTCAGTCAAACACTATCTTGCAGTGCATTTGGCAGTTTATCTGGTATATCTAGACTATGAGCCTTTGAAAAGCCCTGGATGACTTGCATCTAGACTGAAGTGCCATTCAGTCAAAGGCCCATGTTGCTTCACCACATTTTTGAACACGGGCCCTGTATCATGGGCACATGACTCTTCAGATTTAAATTAGATCAGTGCTTTATAACTCAACTTGCCAGGTGCCATGTCCCTCTTGTGGCATGTGGCTTATGCAGTTTTTGTAGAGCTGGCAGTGCGGTGAAACCCACAAGTCGTCGATCAGTTCTCACTGCCCATGCATGTCCAACTGCATGCCAAAGAAGCAGGCACGAGGTACATGTTTGTGGGGCCTGGGATCACCAAATTCCCCTCAACGCAGAATCTGCTCAAACTCAGAAAATAAGTCTAACGATTGCAAGGCGAGGGCTCCGTGCGACTGGCAGGGACAGATTCCAAGGGTGTTCAAATTAACAACAATAAGCGTTCGTGGAGGGGGCCCTGAGCCACATGGATACTCACACTCACTCAGGCGTTCCTGTTTCGGTTCGGCGCTCATCCCGACAACCCACAACATAGCCACAAAAAGTCGCCCCCGATTTCACCTTTCACCGCCAGTCTCACTTTCCCGCTGTGCCTCCGCACAATCCGCTTGACGCACAACAGGGCCGTGGACGTCGATCTACCTTTGCCACTGCGGGCAGCAACCCGCCACTGTCCGTCAGGTCCACGTCCGTCCCGGTTGCCGCCGCGACTGACCTCCCTCGCCGCGCACAACGTGCGGGCAGTGGGCACTCACTGACGACTGTCAGGCCTGCCCACGTTCCCGCCATCCTCGGCCCGGGGATTCATCAGGCAGCCAGAAAGACGACACAGACATCGTCCAGGACGCCCCTGACAGGCGCGTCCCAGCCTGTTGCGCATCGCCCGGTCCGGGTGCCGATTGGCGTCGAGCGACTGTCGTGTCGACGCCCACAGGAGGGCGCGGGACGCGCTGCCTTTCACTGCAGCGCGACACGCACGCGGCGGGTGCCGTCGGTGGCGCCCTGTGCGGGGGGCGCGGCTCAGTGCAGTGTCGCGCGGTTCCAGCTCACGGGGCTGCCGATATTTTTCTCAGGCACCCGGGAGCGCGCGACGCGACGGGACCAAGGAGTTGGAGTCCGAATGACGTGACAAGCTGCGCACGTCGCAATCTGGCGGACGGCCTTCAGAAATAATATTACTGCCTGCACCAAATCGGTGACTGCTTGCACCAAGTCACGTGCACACTTTGTCCTAACCTCAATATTAGGGTTAGGTTTAGTTTCAGGGTGAGTTTAGGGTTAGGGTTAGGGTTAGGATAGGTTTAGGTTTAGGTTTTAGGGTTTAGGTTTTAGGTTAGGTTACTTTGGACGGAGTTGGACATGACGTGCACGTGACTTGGTGCAAGCAGTCACCGATTTGGTGCAGCCAGTAATTTTATGCCCAGCCTTCCACCCTGCGCCGGCATTGAGTCCGCGTCAGGAACGCCCGTGCCCTGGGCCTTTAATTGTGCGCTGAGTGAAGACGGTCATGGCCCGGTCACGCAAGTCGCGCCTGGCTGCTACTTGCGCCCCTCACGCGCGAACAGCGACAACAAGGTCGTTGACCATTACGTTAGCATTGTTTGGTACACAGGAGTACAGTGGGGTTGCCAATATAGCGCTAACCCCCTGTTGACATGGCCGAAAGGTTGGCGCTATTTGGGGCTGTGTGCTAGAAAGTCAATCTACTTTAATGCACTTATCACAGTTGTCCACCAACTGAGGCTTCCCATCGCTTTTCACAAAACAGAAGTCCCATCGGCCATGATGTAGGCCATTCGAATGTCAAGCTCAGTTTCGCCCCTCCCCCCCCCCTTTCCTTAACGTCCATCGTTGCTTCGATTCTAGGATGGCTCAGCAACATTACCTGACAATGCCACGCAACTTCAAAATTGTTTCAAGGGAAAAAAACGACCGAAATTGTAGCGATTGCTGTGATTTGGAAACTGGGATGCCAAAAGCCATTACAGGTGATGCGAGCAGCCCAAAAGCCTGAAAATTGATCCATTCTAAAGATTACCTGGATGATTGAAAGTATGAGGGATGTTTTGCAACAAGTCATGAGCTATTTGCCGCTGATCAGCGGCGATTTTGTGCATCTTCCCACCTTATTTTCTTTTGTTGCAATTACATAATGTCTTAGTTTCAATGGCTGCCCCCCCCCGTCAAGTTGACATTAAGCGTACCAAATTGAAATAGTGTCTTCCCTTGCAATACAGTAAAAATTGAATGTCACTGCGCACTGCCTGAAAGGGCCGGTTGTGCAGCACCACCAGTGATCTGATTGTGGCAATAAACACCCAACACAACGTTCAGATATGTTCGCCAATTCTGTGCACGACCAGCGAACGTTGCAGGTAGACCCGGTACCTCTTTTGGGTGTGCTTTGAGTGTCCAATAACATGGGTTTGAGGTGCCACCGCACAGCAGAGTTGCACGTACTATAGAAGCCGTGCCAAGCCGAAAACAGGGCGCTATCAGGGTCCGGGCGCTGTTGAAAGGGCTCTATATAATTGTCCTAACTGTGCATAATTTTGCCCCTTGTGTGAGAATGGTAGCTGGGGCAATGAGATGGATGAGAGGGATGAGGCGGGTTGCCCCGCGTAGCCCTCTGTGCAGTTCATAGACAACAATTCTGTGCACTTTCACATGAGGAACTGCCACACTGCAACGCTGAATGAGTGCAGGAACTTCGCACAGACTTTAAGCTTCTTTTCAGAGGTGTGTATGCACCGCGTGCGGAGCTCACGGGCCATCAAGGGCCTGAGCCTGAACCCTCAAAAGCCAAATCAACGCCCAATCCATCAGTCAGGGCCCTGATTGTGACTTGCGCTCCTAGCCCACAAACAGCAGCAGTAAGCATGTTTCAACAAAACACGAACAAGCGTGGAAGTATGGATGTGCAAACTCGCCAACAGGCACATGTGACAGAGGACAGGAAGGGGGCCAAAGACGAGATACCGTTATCTACAGCACGGGAAACACCCCATGTCTGGCAAATATAGTCGAGCAGCATGTGTGGCATTGTACCTTCGCACTTTGAGCGTGAATCCATTAGCTGTGGATATTCTTCTCTGGAGAATTCGAATACATCAATGTACGGACTAGTCACATCCAATCGGGCTCATTGCCGCAGATTGGGCGCCGGGCGATATGTTTCAGCCAGGTGGGGCTAAATTGTGTCATCTCTACTGTGTTTTAGGGTAACTCTCACAGCCTTCTTAATTCCAAACTATTACATCACCTTCGATGGCGTGGAAAAAGAGCCTTCACCGGTCTTATGGACTGCCATATTTTGAGGCTAATGCGCTGCTGCCACAATTCTGCAGCATACACAACATTGCCTTCGCCAAGGACTTCGCGCTCTCCCAAACAGGAGCACGGAAGCGACCTGTGTCCAATCGGCTTCCAGTCAATAAATTACACCGAACTGTCGCCGTGCAATGAGAGCACGAGCACCGCTCCTTGCGACCCTTCCAGAAGGCCCACCCCTGCTCTTGCCGCCAGCGCTCGACCAACCTAGAACTACACAATCCTCTTGTGACAAGGCCCCCGTCGCGTAAAAAAGCCTGCCCCCCCACCCCCTCATGCTTTCTTGACTTTCTTCCCCCCCGGTTTGCTGAACTCAAGCAGCAGCTCCTCCACGCCACGCGTCAGGTTCTCCTCCGGCTCCCAGGTGTCCTCGTTGGGGCCGAACCCCTTCCAACGTACCTTGTACTCCCTCACCAGCGCCCCGTTCTTCCGCTTCCTCATCCGCGTCTCCAGCAGCTCCTGCACCTCGAATTCGTTGGCTTTGGCGTCCAGCGGCGCCGGAGGCGCAGCGGCCTTGCCTCCTGTGTCACTACGACGCCGTTTCGACGACCCCTTCCCCCCAGCCGCCTGTGCATCATTCTTCTTGTCACTCCCTGCCGCTGTCTTTGCCTTCGATGCTGGCGTCGTCTCGTCTATCTTTGCGGGCTCTTTCGCTGAGGACTGCCAATCCTTCCTTTTCCTGTCCTCCTTTCTCCTCCCTTCGTCTCTCCTCCTCGCCTCCCTCTTGGCCTCGGTCCCCGGCCCTGACCCCACCTCGTCGACGCTCTTTGCACGCTGCTTTCCCATCTTCTCACCATTCCTCTTCTTGCCATCCCCCAGGCTACCCGACTTCGATCCAGTCTGTGCCTCATCCACGCTCTTGGAGTCGCTCTTCACCTTCCCATCCTTCTTTCGCACCTCCCGCCCCACATCCACCTCAGGGGTCGCCTGCGTCTCGTCGCAATTGTCAACCTCCCCTTCCCCTTTGTCCATTTTCTCAGACTCCTGCTCCAAACCTGCTGGTGCCTTGCTCAAGCACTCGGGCAGCTCCTTCGTCGCTGCCTGCCCCTCCTCCCCGTCGCCTTCACCATCTTTCTGAGCAACTGTTTCAGAGGCCACCAAGGCCCCGCTGAGCTGCCCCCCCAGGACTTCCCCCATGTTGCCGCTCTGCAGCGAAGCAGACTTCGCAGCATACTTCACAGTCTCCAGTATTCTCACCACGTCCGAGAGCCCGTACTCCGATGCCACTGTGAACGGCGTGTCGCCAATGCCTGATCGCTTCCTGTGCGCGTCGGCCCCTGCTTCCACCAGCACCCTCACCACAGAAGGCCTATCCAGCGCGCATGCAGCATACAGGGGCGTGGCGTCGTCCAGAGTCCTCGCTTTGTCCACAGCTGCGCCCGCCTTCAGCAGGGCATTCACTACATCCAAATAGCCCTCCTGTGCCGCGGCAAATAGGGGGGTTACACCCGTGGTGACCTCTGCCGCATTGCTGTCAGCTTTAGCGTGCAGCAGGGCCTCAACAATCTCCAGGTGTCCCTCAAAGGAGGCTCCCAGGAGGGCCGTGACGCCAGTGGACTTCCCGACGTCGTCCAGATCCACTTCGCGGCCGATGAGCTCCTTGACGACAGCCAGGTGGCCGTTCAGTGCCGCAATGGTCAGGGGCGTGTGGCCGTCAGGGTTTTGGGCAGAGTGAGGGTCTGCGTCCTCGTCCAGAGCACGCCTCACCGTCTGCAAGTCACCATCTGATGCTGCAGCCCACAGCAACTGTGACGCCTGCAAGCAAGAAAACAGAAATTGGATCATGCAGCCGATCTGTAGGTAGGCCACCAAGTTACAACTGTTGCCCTTAGGCCTTCAAGCTGATGTTGAGCATGTGTCAGTTACAGAATGGTCTTGGGAACTGGGACATCCAGTGAGGCAGGCAAGGTTCTCGGCTCTCATGGACACACTTTCCATCACATTTGCACAACACAAGCCCACCTGGCAGACCAAGGAAGGATGACATTGCAATCGCATTCGACTACCAAGTCCTTTCTTGACAAAACACAAGGCAAAAGATGTTGTACAAACTTCATGGATGGAAATCCACAAAAACCCTGCAGTTGGTGTTCTTCTATGCGCTGCCATTGCCAAGCTTCAGGCATAACCATGAGCAACGCGACAACAGAATGGATCATACCCATCAATTTCATTCGTGTTGCACACAGCCACTATTCAACTCAGCACAGATGTGCAACTCCCATCAAACAAGGGCTTCCTGCATAGATTATGCGAAACCTATGCTCCATACCAATTTGCCACACATGTAGGATGCCCAAAGCGATGAGCACAGCCCCAGCACAGGGGCCACCGCAAATCAAACATGCAACGACTTCTGAACATCTCGGTATCGAAGCTGTGGAAAGTGTGGAGAATGGACAACATTGACTGGTTGACATGCAGCAGCCCATCGTTAGCAAGGCTTCCACCTAAACTCAAGCCCAAATTTCAATGAGTTCAATTCATACTTGGAATTCCATCCAAATTCAACTAAACTCAACAAACTTCATAAATCAAGGGGATTGAATAAATGCCTTTCACCAGGATGCAATAATCCAACAGATTTTCTGTGGGACACCCACCGAGTCTTTTCCTTCCTCCTCAATGGACGGTGGCGTCCTGCGTTTCCTCTTCTTTGAAAGCCGCACAACCTAGAAACAAAGATGGGACAGATATGCTAACAATACTCACAGCAGGATTCTAGAGCAACCCCACATCTCCCCATTTCTCTGAGGTGAACAGCATTAGCCCAATTTCGAGAATAATTTGCAGTTGTGGGATAGTTTCGAGATCGGCTGACTGGGATGAAGACTTGTCATTTTCTCGTGTCAACACTCCTTGCAAGCTGGTTAACAACAACAACAACACATAGAAAAATCGGTACCCCCCCTCATAAGCTTCGACGGGGGGAGTTTCGATCTCCACTTCTACAGTCCTGATTTCTCTGGACAAGCATCATTTGGGTCTGCCTGGTTGTCGGATATTACTTGCTGTTCAAGAGAGCTGGAATGAACCAAAACGCATGGTGCGTGACAACTCTCACACACTCCACTGTGTCCTGATTTGGCATACTAGCACATTTAACTGCCCCAGATACCATCAGTCCCACTGCCATAGCCCTGCAAGCCCTTCTGGTGTTTGGGAAAGGCTCACCAAAGGGCAGATTATTTGGAGACGTCAGACAGTGACAATGTTCAGGGTCTAGCAACAGATTTGCAAGGTGTGGGCTGGCTTCAACATGCGAGTTCCTATGTGGCCAGCGATGCATGACATCTGCAACAAGCTTTGCTGCAAACACAGCCCAGATAATACCCCAGAAGTTTGGGCAGCAAAGCCAAAGAGTTTGTCTACATATGGGGAGGCCATTGCCAAAGCTGAAAACCGATCTAATCATTCCTTGAGTCAGATTAGTTGATGGCAATTGCTACTAGGCCTGTCACCCTTCAGCACCAGGTGTTTTCCTGGGTGTGCTTCACAGTGTGCGTAAACGCATGTAAAGGATATCATCTTTCATGTCAAGATTGGGCAAATGAGCAGGCGCATTTTCCAGACTGCGATTGCTTTGTCAAGTTCCACTGTTCCTGCCCTTGGTCAATCCTCAAGACAACACAGTCTTCACGCCCACAACAATGAACATCAGAACAAAGTGCACAGACCGAAAAGTCAGAAGACACACCTTTTCGGCTTGTGGTTGGGAATGAGGGGGCGACTCATTGAATCCTGGGACAAATAGAACATTACGCCAGAATTAGCAAGAATGGCGACCTTCTAAACCAGCAGTTCTGCAATTGAACCAGCAGACCACAGGCACATAATGTTGTCGCACTATTGATCATCTGAAAAGACATTCATGCCCAACATTTCCTTCTCTGGGACTTCTACTCAATCTCCCTCTCAGCACTCCAACAAACTTCTCTCTTGGTCATTCTGTGGCTCATTCCCCACTGCTTGCAAGTATACACTCACTTTTCGTACACACATTCATTAATCCGCAGATAGATACATGGGTTCAAAATCACCATCTCTGCTTCTCCAAGGGTGCATCGATTGTGAAGTGATAACACTGCATGGAGCAGTAACAGCACCAGCGACAACACTGCCCACCAATCACAGCAAGAGCCCTGTTTGAGTGTGCCAATACTGCCCAACCCTCTGCACCCATTGTGGAAGCATCCCCAAAACTCGTTCCAGGACTCATCTTCACTCAGCACAGGGGGAGTGCTGTCTTAAACTTACGAGGGGTCGTCCTTTTCTCCTCCTTTTCTGTCTACCCATTTGCACTTGGTGCTGACTGGTTGTATAAAGTGTACATTAAAATCTGGGAAAACTGAGAACACTGACAAATCCAAAGCAGCCGTCATCAGCTTCAAGGTGCAAGCCTACAGTCTCGTCTCACACTGCCAGAACTAATCAAATTGATTCTTCAAGATGGGTTGCGTGCTGCCAAAAGTGCTGTGCCACCACTGTTTCTGCCGAATGCACGATTCTATAAGATGGTAGAACAGAGATGATACCCATATTGTTCAACAGCTGCAACACTGCAAAATGCTCACGAGCACAATTACACAACATCACATGTTGGCCAACCTTCAATGTCCATCGAGCGTGTCATGGAGATCAGGAACCCCGCGACTCGGGGCGTAGAAAATGTCAAGTGCTGTTAATAGACAGGCTTGCTGCTGTCCTGCCACTGTGTCGCCACCAGCTTTGGAATGCCTGTCTTCAACTTCGGGATGAAGCAGCAGGTCCAGACGACTGATCCCCAGGCGCAAGGCTGCACAGAACATGGCAGAAATTCTCATAATCCTGCAAAGCAGTTCGTATGTCCGCCACAGTCCAACCATTTTGTATGTGGTGCTCTATAACACAGGGCACCTAGCAAGCAAGAGATGCAGAGAAACAGCAAAAGTGCATGTGACTCCGTTGTTGCGGGTGTGTGGACTAGGGTCGGTCTTAACAAATGGCAACCCCTTGGGTCTGTACTCGACCTTCAAGCTGCAATGCAACGATAGGGACAACAACGAAATCAATTGAGTCTGAATACTTCAGTTCTTGCCAACCATCTGCCGTTTTCTTCTGGCTAACCATTTTATGATGGAACCTTTTCAATATTGTCCACCCTACTCGACTGGAATGCTGCAACAGTCAGAGAAAATACCGCTGAATTCAATTCAAATAATCAAGAGACTCAAAACTACCAGCATCCAATATTTCAGGGGTTCCAAACTACCAGGTGTTCCCGTTGACAAGCTTGGGGACAGAGCCTTTTCAACAGCACCTGCCCTGCTTAACACAGTTTCTGACCAATTTCAAGTGACTGCCTTGAAGCTTGACGATATGTCCAAATGTTGCCATCATTTTTATTTTTAATGGAGCCATTGTCCAGGACACATCTCCGCACTGCACCATGTGCGGACCATTTCCGGATCTGACATTTGGCAACTTTCCTTTCCTTTGAGTGCTGTGACTCCTTCAAGGCCACTATTTAACAACTCCGGCACAGACAGTTGCAGTAGGACGGCATTGGAGGCCATCCCCCAGCACTTCTAGTCGCGTGCATAAATAACCACATCAACATGCCCCAGTCAAGGTGCAAAACAGCCACGCGCCACGTCTGGACAAAACACAGCCGATGCAGATCCATCTAGGGCGGCAAGCCGTCGCCCCACGAGCATACGGTTCCAGGAAAGACGAAGCAAGAAACCAACGGAAGTGAGCGCAAAAGTACGGGAAAAAACATGGCAGAAAGCACGGTTGCGAGGCCCCAGGGAGAGCCTACCAGCCTCCCGCCTCGGCTGGCGGCCCCGCGGCTAGACACCCCCAGCTCCCACCCGCGCCCACGCAGTCCAGCCAACCCGCCCCTCCTCCGCCCGGCGCGCTTCGCCCCACCATGGCGCCTAGCCCGCCCAGAGGCTGAGCGCACGATCACCGCCAACGCGAGACCCACAGCAACCCCTACCCCAGCAGCGTCGGAGTCGCCTTGGCCGAAAACCGGGCCCAGCGCCGGAGCACAGCAAATGCCGCCGGCACTCCGACTTGCCGTTTCCCTCCATCCCGGGAGATATGAGCCCACCGCAACCCGACCAACAGCAGCCACCACCCCGCCACCCCGGCTCCCCGCCGCCGGCCGATCGACCCGTCACCGCCGCCGCGCGGCGCCGCCGCCCCGCCGGGGACCCCTCCCGAGTCGGCCAGCCCCGCTCGGGCACCCAGCGCCAAACCCTCCCCTCCTCCTCCCCCCTCCTCCCCAAAACTTCCAATTTTCCCCACAAACGGGGTCCCATCTTCCACATTGCCACCCGGTCCCCCGTCCAAAGGATGCCCGTCCCCCACGCTCCCTCCGGCTCACCTCCTTTTCCCCGCCACAGCCTCCGAAGCGCCAAAGTCGCAGATTCTACCCTCCCCGTCCCCGCGCCACCCTCCGGACGGCCGCGATCTCGTCCGGCCTTTGGCGGCCAGCCTCCCCCGGGGATCCCCCTCCGATCGAGCCGCCGCCCTCTGAGACGAAATGCGCCGCAGCGCCGCCGTTCCCAATGCCCAGCCTCAGGCCCAAAGCTGCGGAAAGCTGGCGCAGGCCACCCGGCAGGCGCAGGAAGGCCGCAGAGCTTTGCGTAACGGGATCGAACGGCGTGAGTTGGCGTGCTGGGCACTGACAAGGGCGAGGGAAGGGGTGAGGGTAGAAAGGGGAAGTGCCCGGTCGCGGTGTGGGCGCCTGGCGGTCTCCTCGCCCGTCTGCATGCCAGGCCGCAAAAGCGAGGGCAGGA